TACATTTGGTTCATATATTCTTTCTTTTTAATTCTTTTTCATTGCACTTATTCCCTTGTTTGTCCGATTGCCTTCCACTGTATTACGCAACAAACACGCATTTTATCATGTTCATTTTTATTTCTTTATCAAATACAGGACTCGCTCTACTTAACATCATCCGGTCACAAGTGTTGGATAATCTGGTCGTTATTGATCGGACTCGAGCAACACCCTGACTTTCGTTAGATCTCTTCCTTCCCACACCTAAAATTTTGAACCTCATTCACGGAATTGAATAGGATGTTACCCCACATCAGACGCAGTATATCTGTGACAGTATCCACGTCAACTATTGCTTCTATTCGTTGGATATTTAATAAAAGTACCATTTCGACGAAACCTCTATAGGAAAAGCTATAAAAGTACCCCATAGACATGATACGGGTAGCTCCATTTTGCTAGTGCCCTGTTTTCCCTCCTTTATTTTCGATCACATGTACTAGTCGTTTTTGCACGGAGTCCACCAAGTTAACAATCAAATCGCATTTCTCAGTTTCCTCGATTAAATGCCGCACTATGACGACTAACGATCACTGTTGAGGTAGTTAACTTATCTCCCTTTCCAAAGTTTTTGACTGCACTCTGATCCAGGCTGTTAGGAGGAAACTGAATGAATTTACCCCTCTGAAACATGCCTATCCAGAAAAGATAATGTGTAATCAGGTTCAGAAAAGTTCCGTGATACAATCTGCATTAGATGTGACATCGAACTTCACTTGGAAAATTATGGGTTTTTGCGAGCGAGGTGGTTACTAAAAATTGCGGCCAATCCGGGCGGACTACTCTCGATATTGGTTGTTTGCAGTTTTTCTCAGCTCCAAGCGAATTTATTCATAGTCTGGCTTCGATCTGTTCAGTTTTCTTCCTCTGTATTGCTGTTTTCCTGATTCTGATTTCTGTAAAAAGGCTTCAATTTCATTTAAAATCCGGTGAAACCTCTCCCCCACAATGGGATATTTCTCGTGAGCCACTCGTAGTGGATTGAAGGTAAACCACGTAAATATTAGTGAGAGAAGTTAACTTTCATGCATTGTGACACAATTGAGCTTAATAAACGTGCAGTAAATGAAGTACCGTGCAGACTGTACGATCTTACAACGGACACAAAAACAGGGTGAACGCCTTCCATGTGTCAGACAACGGGGAAGAGCAGCTCACCTATCACAAGCAAATATTTCCCCATAATGAGGAAGCGGCGCAAAGATAAGTAAAGTTTGCACGCCTATGTACAGATGGGTACTTAAATGAACAAGAGGAACATATTCAAAGATAGTTCATGTTGTTGAACGCATGACGATCAGGCACTGGCACAGTATGCGTGCTGAAAGTTGGGGGAGGTCTATAGTTGCTGTGATTGGTTGGTTCTAAACCAATTGTTGACTCGGACAGCTGAGGACATGAACCGTATACCTTTTCCGGGCGATTTCCGGAAGCAACCGGGTAAGTCGAGGCTAAGATCGGATTGACACCAGTGTAGCTTGACCCAGCGGTGCGCGGAATCACAGTTAGGTCTTCAGTACGAATTTGGCGTGTGCAGCCCCGATAGTCATGTGAAGTGGGTGGGATAGGTTTTGTTGCGTACGGTCCGTAGGAATCCGGGTACTTGCCGTTGCATGTGGAGGAGCATAAATCCAAACTAGGGAGGAACGGGTCGCCATAGTCTAAGGATGGGACAAGTTCCCGGATAGAAGTTGAAGACCACGAGGTTTGTGATAGGGGCTGTTGTGTCGAAAAGCTGTGTGACTGTTGAGACAATCCAAGAGGAAAGCTAGAATCTGTACAATATGCATCTGCACAGTCCCTTCTGTACGGAACATCGCGGGAATGTGGAGGATGGAAGTAACTATAACGTGTGAAACCGCACTCTAATGCCTGGTTGGATGCTGCTGGATATTCACGAATAAAATTGTTTTTACCAGTCACATAATCTTCAAATGGGCCGGATGTGGAGGATGAACCTTGTGGCATCAGGACATTGGATGCTGACGGATCAGCATAAGTCGGTGGCGGAAAAATCGGTTCTTTGTTTGGATTCGGACTCCGCTCCGTGGAAGGACGAACCTCAAAATCAACACTTTCAGACACTTTCGGTTCGTTCATTGAGAAGTTTGATGGAAACATAGTATATGCGATACCTGAGGCACAGTGATCATCTGGGACACCGCACCCAGAAAACCCCGCATACGGTGGGAACCTGTCCATTGCTTTGACCAGCTCACCAGGTCTGTTAGATCGCAAACCCTAAAAAGTAGTAGTTATATAGTCAACTGATGGGAGTACCTGTGATAGGTTGGATCTTGGTTTCGAAATTCTTTTCGTTTTTTTCAACTTTTTATCATTTTCTGCCATATGTGTAACGAGAGAATCCATCATGCTACGACTGAAATTCTCATAGTTCTTGACCGCATTAGAATGGCGTTGGATAGCAAGATCATGATGTGCCTGCAGACTAGTCACACGCCTTTGGAAACGAGATAGTTGGGCTGAAGCCATTCTGTAAAATTTCATCGTAAAACATATTGAGATAGAAAAGCAAAAGTAAGCAACGAATTCCTATGCAATTATGATGTATGCTGATATGAACTCGGCAATTTATGCCAGATGATAAATGAGAAAAATACACTACTAAAATGACCATTATTCGACAAAATACAAATGTGAATTGCACCTTTAAGAAGTGCTTTGATCAACCTGAGGTTGCAACCGGTAGAGATTAGGTTTGTTCTTAGTTCAGGTATTACAATCGTTATCCATGCACCCTGGTGCTGCGGTTTTAGTTGCTGTCGCTTGACCACCCATTGGGAAAGATTAAATGGAAGGTTGGAATTTTCAAATCAGTGTAACAGTGAAAATAGAGAACTCATGAAGACCAAGGCTGCAAGGAAATTGAGTAATTTTTTATTACACATTTATGTGATGTACAGCAGACTGGTGGATCCCGTAGTCATGCATATATGCTGTATCCTGATGGAAACCGGTAACCTAAATCACGGGGCGGCAAACCACATAAGGCCCCGCTCGGTCAGCCGTAGTACTGAATCGGACTTTTTCAGTTTCTGCAACCATTAACCATGCATTTTATTGCACCGGTTATGGTTCCCATTTTCTGACTCCCTAATGTGATAAAAGAGTAGAATAAAGATTGGAATATTGAAAGTAGAGTCGAAGATTAAATGGACGACTCTAGTAGACTAAGGTTACAAAGAAACTGAGAAGATGCACGAGACTGAGTGTCGTGCATCCCGAAGTACCATTTCAGGGAGCCCAAGGCGACCTATGCCACCGAGTCTAATGGTTACGGTTTTCATACCCTCATGCCAGGTCTCAGTTTGGCCACTCTTTACTTTTTCCACCCACTAACTGCTTCGGCGATCATCGCGCGCTGTGGTAATTTAGTTGGTGAAATACCAAACACGTGTCCCAACTATTGCAGTCTATGGAGGTCGATTACTTGCTTCAGTGGTGGTGGCGCAGTGGTTTAGTCGCTGTCACCGGCGTGCTTTGAACTTTCGTCCGAGGTTCGAGCCCCGCCACCCGACTTTGGTGGTAGGCAGCTCTGCTGTCGTCCGGTTCAATACCACACCTAATCTATCGGGGCCTTATGTGGCTCACCACTCCAAGTCCCGGGGCTAAGGTTTCCGGTCTCCACCACTAAACAGCAGGTCCTCGTGACTATGGGGTTCGCCCCGTCTGCTGTTCCTCACACTTGGGTGTGTAATAAAAAAGAGGGTGATTGCAGTTAACTAAAACTTTGCGCCCAACGTCAGCACGGCTTATCCGGTTGCCCCACTGGATTCGTACAATGCAGCGTAAACAGTGGTGTTTGAACACCGACAATCAAATCAGAGTATGCCACCCGGAAGCAACTCGGTGCCACTATCTTCACGCGAAGACAGGGAAATCCGAAGTCAAACAATTCTTTCATTACACACATTTGTGTGGTGAACAAACAACGCTGAGTCTGTGTTGGAGACATTCAACGCAAGCCACAACTCAATCAAATTCACTATTGACAAAGAGAACAATGATCGAATCCCTTTCCTGGATGTTCTACTAATCCGAAACCCAGGTGCAACTATCCAGAGAACAGTATACAGAAAACCAACAAGGAAGGGACAATATGTGAATTTCAATAGCTTTGTGCCATTGAAAAAAGGGGAAATTTGGTACGATGCTTAGGTATGAGGGCATGCAAGATCTGCTCTCTCAATGCCGTAGCCGAAGAACTTGAACTCATCAAAATCTTCCTTTGAGGGAACGGTTATCCAGATAACTTCATAGATAAACATCTAACGGAGATATTCGCGCGACCGGTTGTGCACACGGTCAACAAGAAATTACTCTACTTGCAACTACCATTGTGGTAGTTGCTGGCGACTTCAATGCTCAAGTGGGATCCCTGGACGAATCAGAGAGGTTACTTGGCGGTTCGCATGCAATCCCAGCCAACAGGACTGACAAGGGAGAACGCCTACTCCAACCTTGTGATGACCACGGACTGTTTCTTTCAAGCACGAACTTCTCGCACAAGAAACGACACCGACTTACATAGAGACCGAC